GCCTCCAACTGCAGAATCTAGTTCCTCACTCTCCTCTCCGGAACCCTCCAGGTTCTGGGGAGAGCCAGGGCCCAGGGGATGAGAATGCCCCGGCCTCCTTTGGAGGAGACAACCAGGACAAAGGGGAGTGGTCACTGTCTGCTCCCAGACACATCACCTGACCAGCCAGCTTTGTCTTTGTCACCGGATGCCCACTCCTGCATGTGGGGGTGTAGTTCATGAGTTCTGGGGACTCCCAGGCCCCAGGTAGCAGTCCCTAGAGAAATCCTGGGGCTGTTTCCCCTCCACTCCCCAGACCCTGCCCTTCACAGCCCAGAGTGGGTTCTCGGTCACTACTGATAAAACATGGGGTTTAGTTCTGCTCAGGAGATGTTTCTAGAGTCTCTACTACGTGTTCACCCTGCTGGCCCAGGAACAGCAGCACCTGGCAGAGGGAATGAACTTGTTGGGCTGAGGCTGGACAGAGTGAGTGGTGGTCTGCCTGGCAGCAGTACAGAGCTGATATGTTGAGTCAATGAGTTTGCTGAGGCGGAACTGGATTTCAGCTTGTACCTAGAAGGCAAGGACCAGGCCACCTTCGTCTGTATCCCCGTGCCCAGCCAGGGACCTCCCACTCAGGAGAAAGTATAGGAATAAATATCTGCACAGAGGAGCCCTGCAGAAGAAGGATCATTGCTCCTAGCTGGGAAGCCCTGGGGAGGCCGGCTGGGGCGGGCTGAGCAGGAAACCCCGGCTGGGGCCGGTGGGAATGGCCAAGGAATGGCCAGGGCCTCTGTTGTGTCTAGAGCTGAGGTCTAGGGGGGTCTGATGGAAAAGGCAGGGCCTCCATCCCAAAGTTGCCTCTCTGGCAGGCTGCTGTGGTCTGCCTTTTGCAGACTCTAGGAGTAGGTCTTGATCCATGTCCCTGGCCACTAGCCTGAGGCCATGTGGACAGTTTCCACTGAGCTTTTTTACCTGGGCAGGCCTGTGCCAGAGTAGGTGGCCCAGCCCAGAGCTGGGGCTGGATGTCAAGAGAGCAGAAGTCGGCAGGCTGGGGGACAGTTGGTCCTGGAGCAGCAGTTTCACCTTGGAATAATGTGTTCATACGGCACTTTGAACTTAGCCATTTTGCAGCTTTTTGCAGACATTTTTGAGGGCACACAGGCCTCCAGGCTTCCAACTTGCCTATGCAGTGTTCTTCCATGGGGTAGCTGGAGCTGCTAGGAGATGCTGGGCGGGACCTTGCCCCCGGGGCGCGGAGGGCACAGGGCACAGACACCCTGGGGGTTGGTCACGAGGGGTGGGGCTCTGGGCAGAACACACACCGCCCCATTGTGGCAGTCACATTCCTTCCTGACAGGTGGGGCTCGCCACCAGCTGGGGCAAACAGTGGGTGGTTCTTGGCTTTCTCTCACTGTGGCTGAAATGGCTGTTTTGAGTCAACAGAGTTCTCAAGGTTTCGCTAGCTTTGTGGCCAAGGAGCTGGTATATTTGAAGATATTGGGGGCTGAGTGGCATTCTGGGGTTTGCTTGTGATGAGGTTCACCAGCCCTTCCTTGTAGACTCCCCCTGCATCACAGCAGAAAGGGCCCAATTGGTCCAGAGAGCCCTGAACACCTTGACTTGGCAGGCAGGCCGGCCGCCGCCCAGAGGTGGAAGAGTTGCCTGGCGCCGTGATGCCCATGCGGACGGAGTCTGCCTCCGTGTTGCCTGTCTAACCTCAGCCCCTTCCAGAGCACAGTGAGGCCAAAGCCACACGTCTGTGACAGGTCCAGCTAGTGGGTCCCCAGCGCCCGCGCCTGGCTGTGGCTAACGCATAACATGTCTTACTTTGTTTGGGCTGCTGTGACAAAGATGCCTTAGACTGGGGAACTTACAAACCACAGAAATGTATTTCTCTTACTTAGAAGCTGGGAAGTCCAAGATCCAGGTGCCAGCAGGCTTGGGGTCTTGTGAGGGCCTGCTCTTCATAGTTGGCACTTTCTCACATCCTTACCTGGCGAGAGAGGCACCTGCACTCCCTCTGTTATGAGCCCTCATCTCATCTGTGAAGGCCCCTACATGACCTCATCACCTCCCAGAGGCCCCACCTCTTTATACTTTTGCACAGAGGCTTAGATTTCAACATAGGAATGGGCGGGTGGCGGGGGGGCACACATTTAGACCGTAGCACCACGATTAGTGCCCAGACCCACACAGTCATGGTGGCCATAAGTTAGACACCCCTGCCACTTGCACCTTATGCCAGAGGCGGTCAGTGGGAAGCTCCGAGCAGGACCGAGAAGGTGAGCACAGACAAGCGCTGTACGGCTTCTGTCCGAGTGCGCAGGCTGCGCTCCTGCTCTGTTCACGTGAGAGGCCACAGAAAACACTCGCAGCAGACCACGTCCCAGGCCCTTCACATGACAGCTCGCAGAAAACGCGAGCACGCGTTCGGGTGTCAAGCACACTGGTCTCAGCAGATGTGGCTGACACCCAAGGCAGTCAGCCTCAGTACCTGTCACCCACCTAGAACCTGTTCATAGCACATCATCCAGGCTGCTGTGGCCTTGGCTGGACGTGATTATTTATTCTTACATACCACGGCTTCTATACAGGCCAAGAAACAGACTGCTCAGGGTCGGGAGAGGGTGGGTCTGGCTCCCTGGGGACCTCAGGCTCTGATACATCCTGGTCTCATCCTAGGCCTCCTCTGTCGGGGCAGCCTGGCTCAGCAGAGCCTGGGACACATGGCTGAGGTCACCCAGGGTGGGCCTTCTTGCCCCTGTTTTGTGCCCCCTACTCAGTTTTCCTTCTGTCCTGGCTCAGGTCTAGGCCAGTCAAGAGGGTGGCTGAGAAGCAGGAGGAGCCTCAGAGACTTTCCCCCTCGAAAGCACTGAGGCCTCCACCTTACAAGCGGCAGGTTTGCCTTGGGAGCTGCTGATCCATCGCCCAGGCCTGGCCTGGGGCAGGCAAGGATCCTGGGTGCTGGTCCATCGTCCATGCCTGGCCGGGGGCAGGTAAGGATCCTGGATGCTGGTCCATCATCCAGGCCTGGCCGGGGACAGGCGAGGATCCCGGGTGCTGGTCCATCGCCAAGGCCTGACCAGGGGCAGGCGAGGATCCTGGGGCTGTTGTGCAGGGGTTGCCGTCTCCAGCCCTCTGTTATGGTTGGGGGAGTGTGCTGTGTGCACACCACTGGGCTGTGTCAAATCCCACCATGGCCCAGAGGGTGGACCTGTGGTTCCGTGGGGGGCCAGCTGCAGGGACGGGGCTCCCTCAGCGGCCTGGGCCAGCATCTTCAGTCTAATGGGTGCCCCTGCCCCTCTCCTGAGTCCCCGTGCAGAGCTCCCTGCAGCACCTCAGCCTTCACCTTTCTCAGCTAATCAAAAGATGTCAAGAAAAGCAAACCCATCAGAACGGCTTCCTCCACGGAGTGTTCAGGAACAATGAGCGTGCCCATGGCAGGCACATACACCTTCCTCCAGAGACAGCACCTTTGATTTCCCGTTCGCTGAGGCTGGTTCAACAGCTTGTTGGCTGTGACAGCCGGTGGTCACCTGTATTTCAAAGAGACACACAAACACTGCAGCCTTTGAAAGGATCAGGCCCTCGGGACAGGTCTGTGGTCTTGGCGTCAGCAGGCGTGCGGCGAGGGAGGCGGCGGGTGCTCCAAGCCCTGCTTTGCTCCCACAGTCCACCCGTCTGCCGGGAAGAGACCAAAGGCTGGAATTCCCCCCTGCCCTCTGTGCGCAGTTCTTCCCTCGCTCCCCTCTGGTATGTGACCTTGTTGCTGCAGTCCTGTTAGGGATATCCAGGACTGGGCCGGGAGTGCCCCTCACTGTCCCAGCCTCCGTCCTGTCTGTGGCTGGACCGTGGAGTGTGCATCATTCTGAGGAGAAGGCTGGATTTTGTGCTCTGTCCTGGGAGCAGGTGTTGAACTGCACACACTTGTAAACAGTGTCAGCCCTGCCCCCATCGCTGGCAGCTGACGCCAAGCAGAACCGGCTTGCGTACCCTTGAAATCCATCCTCTTCAAGCCATACCTGCCGCTGGAGAAGGCCCCAGGCTGCCTCCTGCCCCAGGCCAGGCCCCACACAGAGGGAGCACTTGGTGGGCGGAGAAGCTTTTGTGCAGCCTACTCTCTCTCTGGGGCCTCAAGGGGCCCAGCAAGGCAGGCAGGGAGCTGGTGAGCACTAGAACCTGGAGCTTGGCCTCTCCTCAGCAGCTCAGACCCCCCAGGCCCCAGCACCTGTGGAGGGCATGGGGCCACTCCTTTCTAGAGGCTCGGCGTCTCCAGGTGAGGCCGAGAACTCATGTTTCCCCAGCTCCCTGCATGACTCTATTACACACGAGGCTCAGGACTTCAGCTCGGCCCCTTCTAGCCTGTGTCTCCCACTCTGGTTGTGGAGAGTGCGGTAGAGTGGGCGTCATGTCACCCTGTCTGGCAGTACAGCCTGGCGTTTCCTCCGAGTCAGATCTCTTCTCAAGGGGAGCATCGCAGTGCGTCAGTTATGTTTGCATAGAGGTCCTGCCTGAAAAACATCATTGATTTCACCACCATTGTAGGGCGTTTGGGTTGCTGTCTTCTTTTCTGTTTAACAGTATGTTGCCGAAGTTTTACACACATCTTAGAATGTTTTCTTAACACAAAAATCCGAGTAGTGAAATTACCTGATCAAGGAATTGGATACATTTTTCCCAGGTTGCGCTTCAGAAAGGCTGTGGACAAAGTGTTAGGAGCATTTCTGTTTCACTGCAGCTCCCCAGAACTGGGCCTGCATCAAATTTGTGTGCTTTGCTGAGTTAGTAGGTGAAGAATGGAATTGAGCGTGTCTTTATGAGCACAGAGCACTCATTGGCCGGAGGTGCATCTTCATGAGTGCGTTGCTCATGGCCCCTGTCCTTGCCTGGATGGGAGGAACCCGGGACTCGATTGGTCTTGCCACAGCCTGGTGGTCCAGTCGCTTTGTGGGGTGTGCAGTCCTGGGGCTCTGGGAGGGGAGTAACCCTTAGTAACCTGTGTGTCTGCCCCTCCACAGAACTGTCAGACCTTCAGCAGCCTCAGCTGCCTGAGCGCAGGGACAGAGGACTGCGGTCCCCAGAGCCCCTTCGCCCGCCACATCAGCAACACCAGGGCCTGGACCGCCCTGCTCTCAGCCTCCGGCCCAGGGGGCAGGACCCCCGCTGGGACCCCGGTCCCTGAACCTCTTCCCTCTTCCTTCGACGACCACCTCGCCTGCCAGGAGGACCTGTCCTGTGAGGAGTCAGACGGCTGTGCCCTGGATGAGGATTGCGGCAGGAGAGCAGAGCCAGCCGCAGCGTGGCGGGACCGCGGGGTCCCCGGGAACAGCCTCTGCTCCCTGGATGGCGAGTTGGACATCGAGCAGATAGAGAAGAACTGAGGGGACGTGTGGGCCCAGGCAGGGCTGGGGTGTGCTGGCATCGACAGCCCTCCCTTTGGGCACTAGGTGGGCCCTGGAAGGGGAGCCCAACTCGTGGGCCTGATGAAAGTTTCCTGAGTGGGGTGTCGGGTCCCAGAGAGGGAGCCCACCCGCGGCCTTGGGGAGAGCCTGGCCTGGCCGCGTCACACAGTGGGTGTGTCAGCCTCTCACCGGCTCCCCGAGTGTGGCAGCCACCAGGTCCACAGAACTACTGCAGCCCAGAGGACAGCTTTGGAGTTTGCGTCTTTTCTGCCTCTTTCCCCCTGGGATGTTGGGCAGTCTCTGTTGTCCCCGGCAGAGCTGGGCACCGCTCTGTATCCCCCTGGTGGGGGCTGTCAGGGAGGGCCTGGGGTGGGGGCCAGGGGCCATCTGCTGTGTCAGGGCCCTTCTTGGCCTCGCTCAGGTTCACTTTCGGAGAGCCGGTCCCGCAGCTTCTTTCACTCAGTTTTACTCCGTGCCTTCTCTCCCAGGTCTCCCTGCTTCAGGCTTGGGAAGGTTCGGGAGATGCTTCCTTCTGTAACACCAGAACCATTTGGCCTTAATTCCAATGTGAGAGACAGAATCCCTGGGGTGCTGGACTGGCCCCCCAGAGGGTAAGCCCATGTCCGGAGTCTCGGGCCCAAGGAACAGCTTGGAGGGGTGCATGTTAGGGCCTTCCATGTTGGGCAGAAATTTGGTGGGTCTGTTTTCTGAACGGACTCTCTTGCCTCTCCTGCAGCATGGAGAGCCTGACCCCATCGCTCTGCCACCGCTGGGGCAGGGTTAGCAGATGGCAGCCCTTCTCTGTGGTTGACTGGTCACTGAGTGATAAGTGTGGTTGGTTCTGGTGAGTGTAGGGATGGCATGATACCAGGGCAGCCTCTTGAAAATGGCCTTGGGAGACAGGAGCTGGGGGCAGGTGGACAGCTGCAGGCCCTGTGCCCATTCAGGGGTGAAGGGCGTCCGCTGACCAATCTGCAGAGGCCCCTGCAGGATTGCACGCACCTCCCATTTGTCCTTGAGGACTGCTGGCTGTAACCAGGGCACACCACCCACCTCAAGACAGACCCCCGCCCTTGTCAGCTTAGGGGGAGCCCAGTCCTGAGGGCTGCATCTCTGTCGTAGGCCCAGCCATGGGCAGAAAGCTGGACTGATACTCCCCGCCCCTACCCCGCCCTGGCTTCTCACCCTGGGGCATCCAGGGAGCCTAGCCCCCTGAGGGTTTGCTGTCCTCTCCGGGTTTGTAGCTGCTCTCCCGCCACCTTGCAGATACCACCACATGGGCTCTGCTCTATGGGAATCTGGCTTTTAGTGAATTTGGCGTCTTCTGCAGACAATAGCAATTGGGCTGGCTTAGGAGTAAGTGGCTCATTTTCCCATAAGGCTAAAAATAACTGGTGTGCTCCCTCGCGTTAGCTGACATGCGTTAAAAGCACTTTTGTAGTCATTTTGCTTTTACTCGTCTTCCATGGACGAGTGAACGCCTTGCTTCTGCAGGTCGAGTCCAGATGCTTCTCGCCTTTCTCCTCAAGAAAGCTGCTTTTTGGGAAACCTTGTTTAAACCTTCTTTTTTTTTTTACTACATCAAAAGGATGGTGGTTCAAGTTCCCAATATGTGGGTGGCACTTCTTACAAATCAGCTATAAGAAGCTGGCAGAAAGCCCCCAGCTCCACGGCCCTGAGAGATGCTGTTGCCATCCCAGGGTGGGTGGCACATGGGGGTATGCCGGGCACTGGGCAGGTCCCAGAGCGGGGGAACCAGCTCGCCTCTGGTCGCTGTAGCTCCTGCCAGAGGCACATCTCCTTGTGATCCTGGACAGCCAAACCCAAGAGCTGGTGGCTCTGAGCAGAGACATCTTGGCCTGTCCCTGCCTGGGGGTCATGGAGACCATGTCTTCTTAGAGCAAATCCTTCTTAGAGGAGACCGGGGCAGTTGCTGGGTGAATGTGGAGAGCACATGGCCATGCCTCACTCCCAGAGTATCACCGGGCACGAGAAGTCCTGGCGTCACACAGCCGGTGTGGCCACCGAGGGCACACAGCCTCTAAAGCAGGCCTTCCTGTGGAAGGCAGAGGCAGTGAGGGAGGCGGGCGGTGCCAGCCGAGGCTAAGGCGTGCAGCAGCCCCCAGCTACCTTTGCTTAGGGTAGAGGTGGGAGGCACATGGTGACAGGTATGTGTCATGGGACTGGGGTGTAGGTGACCTGCCCTCAAACCCTGCCTGCCACCTCCCCACTCAGGCCTGGTGGCAGGGAGGGACAAGCTGTGGAGCTGGCCGAGTCACAGCCACCTCCCCACCTCCCTGCAAGGTGGTCCCATTGACCAGCAAGCCCAGCCTCCGGGCGCTTAGGCAGAAATGGCCCAGCCTTCTCAGACCCCACCTGCCTGTCCTGTGCCACTGCCGCCCCTAGCCCAGCTGCCTGTCCTGGGCCACCACTGCTCCTAGCCCGAGCCCACCACGCAGCAGTCGGGAGAAGATGGTGGCTGTCCCTTCTGCTTAGAGAAAGAAATGGCCTTCAGCTGGTTTCGTGTTTGTCTCTTGACTGGAGAGAGTAGACCCTGTCTATAAGGTGCCACCCCATCATCCAAGCCGCCACACAGCCCAGAGCGGCCTGTTCCTGCACTCCACCCTGCTGGCCCCAGGACTTCTGATCTCAGTCCTCTGGGAGGGAGGCTTGCCCAGGAGGTGCCCCCCACATTGGTGTCCCCCCGGGCAGCAGGCAGACAGCTCACCCCCACCAGCATGAGGGCCCCAGCTGGGGGCAGCGGCAGGAGCCTCGCTTTTGTCACAGCCTTGCCCGCGAACCCTGCCTCTGAGGGGAGACCAAGGAAGGCCAGAGCCGGGAGCAAGCCGTGCCAGGCCATCTGCCTGCTCGTGGGCCCTGAAGAGCGGGCTAAGCCTACAGGAAAGCCGAGTGGGAGGAGGGGCTTAGCGCCACGTGCATCCCACTCATTTCAAAGCCACCAAACTGCCAGGGGCTGCCGTCCACCTGTGGGGCCTGGGGGCCGGGACCACAGCCTCGCCATTTTCGTTGCCACACCCTCTTGCCTTACTCATGGTGGAGGCCAGAGTTGCACGGACAGACGTGCATCTAGGCCCACGGGGAGCTTGTTCTGACCAGACGTACAGATTTTCATTCTCAGAAAGCCTTACTTTTCAACCAAATTTTTGTAGCCAGTTTTGTGAATTTGTACACTGAAAGAAAATTTAAATAAAGGGGAAGTCTACATTAAAAAGAAACCCCAACTTCCAAATGGGTCTCCTGGTGCAGGGGCGTGAGTGGCCACGCACTGGGTGTGCTGCCTGTCTGAGCAAGCTCCCCTAGCTGCGGGACCCCTGGGCCCCTGCTGCGGGCTCGGCCGTGGTGTCATGCCTGCTGCACCCCCGTTTCCACTGACGTGCCGTCTGTGACTATTGGGGGGTGGTCACTTGAATGATGGTCATTCCAGACATCAGCCGGCAGAGATGCAGCAGGCTGGCCGCGCACCGGGATCAGGCACCCTGGCCCCACACTGGCAATGATGCCGCACCTTGCCATGTCCACGCTGTTGGTCAAACCCCTCTGTCATGCCTCTTTAAAGAGAAAAGAGAAAGGTTTTGTTTTGTTTTGTTTTGTTTTCTAATGGCAGACCGAAGTGGAGATCTTGTAGCCTAGATAGGATAGTCTGACCTAGCGTAGTCTTTTTGGCAAATGATTTGTGTTTTCAGTGCGTGGGGAAGCTGTCCTGGGGGCTTGGGTGACAGATAGCACATAGGCTGTTTCTGGGGTTGCAGGAGCTTCCCTGAGCTGGATGTTGTGGGTGTTGCAGAGCTTCAGGAAGTGTGGCGACCAGAAAGTGTAGACCCGGGGCCCAGGGCCTGCCTGCCCCTGCAGCCTGGCCTCCCCGCACAGGCCGTGGCTCGCGCTCCAGCCGCTCTAGTCTCTCAGGAATTTGCTTGTTACTTTTACTGTGTAAATAAAGCTTCCTGGTTCAATACCCAAGTTCCTAGTGTCAGCTGTGTGGTTTCTGTGGGGTGTGGTGAACCGGCAGGTCCCTCCTGCTCACAGGAGCATTAGCTCTGGGCTGAGAGGGACATAGATTGGACCCTTCTGTCCCCTCCAAGCTTCGGGGTCTGAATCGATAAAATGGGGCTAACAGACATCACAGAGCTATGGAGAGGCTGGGGGATGGGAGAAGGCCTGCCCGTGGTCACAGCTGCATCATGGGGAGCCCTTCTAGGGCTGGGCTCTCCTGGCTCTGGCCAGGAGCCCCAGGACAGCAGTGGGGAGACACTCCTTGTGTCACTTGAGTTAGAAGCCATGGAGGAGCCGGCCCTTCTGAGCACATCAGCTCAGGCTTCGACAGCGCTGGGAGGTAAGGCCGTACAGCAGTGTGCGGAGAGGGGCCCAGCCTGGCCCGGAGCCCTGAGGGGCCTGGGATGGCCCCCGCTACCCACCCACCAGGGTGGTTGAGGTGGCATAGACAGGTTCACCAGCTCCGGGCTTCTGCCCCCGCTGCAGGCAGCACAGTGCAGACTTCTGCTGCGTGAGTTGCGGGGCCCCAGAAGCACGGAGCCCAGCCCAGCGTGGGCCACCGTCTCCGTGCGTGGCCCTCTGCTTACCCGGACTCAGGAGATGGGGGGTGTTTGTGGCCTGGAGGACAGGCGTGGAGAGGTTTGCTTGATTTCCATAGCTCAGCACCTGCCCACATGACCTGCCCATGGAAGTCTGGCCTAGAACGCTTGTTAGGGCCAGAGCAGCCCTCTGGGAATGAGGCTCTGCAGCCCCCACTTCTCTTTTGGTTTGTTTTTCCTTTTAGCAAGATTTTTTTTTTTTTTTTTTTTTTTTTTTTTTAAGTCTATGGACACTGAACTCAAGAAACAGGTGAAGCAGGGCTGCTGCTGGGAGGTGAGGCCCTCGTCCTCACTGCCATCCCTGCAGCCCTGCCTTACCCAAGGCCCAGGGACTCACTGATGCGAGGCTGGGCGCATTGACTTCCCCAGCACACCTCACCCCTGCCTCCATATCTGACGGATGACTGGCAGGCCAGAGGCCAGCCGGGGGCTTCTACCAAGCGCAGTGCCCCCACCGTTGTTTCCCACCTGAGGGTAGGGCACAGAGTGGCCCTGGAAGAACCTCTGGCCCTTACCAGCCCCTTGCCGTCCCCAATCCCTAGATGAGGTCCCTGGCTGGGTAGCAGCTCCATTCTGCCCCCACATGGGGCCTGGCCTCAGGCCTCACTCCAGGCCAGGCGCAGGTGCTTCTGACATGAGACACGCGTGTAGTCTCCTTATCTGCACAGCGATCATAACCCTGTGTGCTTACGAGAGAGAATCAGTGCTAACCCCACGGCCACCCTGGACAGTCACTCTGTCCAGTGTGCAGGGAAAGGGCTGGAAGGAAGAAGGCCGGAAGGAAAGGCCCCGGAGAGCACAGTGCTCAGACTCCCGAGTGACTTCTGGTTTCTTTTTATATACTCTTCTGTTAAATTTCCCGTAATAACACATACTGCTTTTATAATGTTAAAAAAAAAAGCCATGTAGAATGTAGGCTGCCCAGTGTGTTTACCACCTAAACCAGGACAGTTCTGAGAGGGGCAGATGGAACTGTTGACACGCACTCTGGGACGGAAGGCGGACCCAAGAGCGCCCACCCCAGAGGTGCGCCACCCTCGCCCATCCCGCCCTGTGTCCCCACCTCTGCCCTGAGGTGAACACAGAAGTCTTTCCACCTGCCAGCTGCCAGCCAGCCTCCCCGAGAGGGGCAGGAACCGCCCAGCAGGACAGGCCCACCCAGGACAGCGGCACCAAGTCAGGCCTCAGCCTTTCCGATCCTCCAGAGGGCTCAAGCTGAACGGAAGGAGGGAAGAACTGCAGTCACCTGGGCCAGTGGTGCTCACATCTGACGTGAAGGCCTCTGCCTCACTTGGCCCAGTCCCAGCCTTGTCAGCGATGAGGGCATGGACACTCGCTGGCCTCTGTCCTCCGTCCGACACAACATGCCGTCTTCTCTCTGGTTAGGGTTTGGGTGGGACGGAGACTGCGCCCCTGTTCCTGGTCTGCCCTGGTCTCTTTGCCAGTCTGAATCTCCTGGGCCTTTTCGGCAGGCCCTGGGGTTGCTGAGCAGGCAGGGGGAAGTCGGTGGCTGGGGGGCATCCTGCCACCTGCCAAGTAGCTGCGATGGGAAGAGATGGGGTTCCTGTGACAGCGATTGGGACCCCAGACCCAGCTAGGCCTGGACTTTGAAGTCTTGTGAGGCTACCAAATCTCTTGTTGGACTAAGCCAATTTCAATTGAGTTTTCATAGGTGGTACATTGAGCCCAGGGCTTGGTACTGTGTGGGCCCTAGAGCTGGTAGGTGCAAGGATGGGTGAGAGACCTGCTCTCCCTGCCCTCCCCTCCGCCCCCTACCCTGCTGCTCCTCGCGGTTGCCTGACCTGGCAGCTCCGGAGCCTGGGAGGTGTGGCTGGGCCCAGGCTGCTGCTCACTCCGGGCCTTGGGGGGAAAAGACGCCTGGGAGCGCCCCGGAGCTGTGGCCCTGGGTGTTGAGTCTTTTTTTCATGGCAGTTCCAT